AAGAAAGCTTGCCGATGCGCTGGAGGCAGCCGCAGAAGTTGCCGCGGGTGCAGCTTGTCCCAGCCAAGTCCAGCCGTCGACGAGTAGGTCCCCAGGACGCGATCAAGCTGCTCCGAAGTAAGGGGCGGAAGCGGCTCCAGGTGGTTGAGCACCGCGCTAGACGCCCCAAGAGAAGGTTCGCCTTCTGTTGGCAAGCTGGTGCTCAAACCCGCCCCGTGCCCGGGCAGCAAAGAGTCACGACAGAGGGCCTCGCGGTCCCAGGCCTCAGGAAAGGCTTCGTGCATCCTACTAGGAGCAACCCAGAGAAGCTCCCAATCCTCCAAAGTCCTGTCGAGGGCCCGAGAGCCAGCAGCTGGGAGGGGGGGGGCGCCATCCTCAGGCTGCGAGACGACGACCGAAGACTCGACACAATCACGACCGAACCGATAGGCCGCGCTGCCGCCCTTCTCCCGAGCCGCGGCCTGAGCCCAGGCCTTCCAGGCCTTGGCGCATTCCTGCTTGTCCCTGAACAGGAGAGCCTGGAGGTTGTCCCGCAGCACCTGCAAGATATAATTGACTTCCTGAGTGAGGCCGAGCGAGCCATCAGAGAGGAGCTGAACCAGGTCAGAAAGAGGTCTGCCTCCCCAAGCGCCGAGAGGCTCAGCGTCAGGCCAGGAGGCAAGCTTAAATCCAGCTGCCGTGTGCCTCTGTCTGCGGAGGGCAGCAAGGTTGGGCTCTCGTTCATCTCTGGCAGGGGGCCCCAGGGCAACCGAGCGAAAGCACGCCGAGTAGAACCTGGACCAGGATTTGCGCTCCGCAGAGGTGTGCTGCCTGAGCGAGTCTCGCCAGGCAACTTCCAGAGGTTTAACAGCAGTCTGAAACCCTTGGACACGGCCACGCCATCGCCCTTGGCTCCATTCGGCCAGATCCTGAAACTGAGCTAAGTACGCCTCAACATGCCCAAACCATTCAGCACGCGCCTCACCAATGTCAGCTGGGAGCGCCTCACCAATCGCCCAGGACCAGGACCGATGTTCACGAGGCGCCAGGCGGAGGCTTGTCAATCGGAAAGAGCAGAGGCAGCAGCGGCATACAGACCGTAGCTTTCGCACCAAGGCCAACACACTTGACTGAGACAACAGAGTGGGTCTGCACAGGCGCAGCGGGAATCAGTCCTACCGAGTCAACGAACTTGGCCAGGAGCTTGCTGCAAACCCCGAAATCGATCTCCCGAGCACCACAGGTAGGCTGAAAAAGGCGTAGCACGACTCCGTGAACTCTGCCTGCCCAGCTCTCAACATCCGTGGGCAGCATGTTCCAGTCTCCCAGGACAACCCATGGAGCGCGCAAGGCCCCCAGGTGAACAACCAGCGCCGCCAGGATGTCAAGGTTCTCCTTGGCGAGCCCGGTCGACGTGACCAGGTGCAGGGAGATGACATAGAGCGGGACAGGAAGCCCGATGTTCACTTTCTCCGCGTGCACGCGATGGGTCGGCAGGTCCAGAGTGGCCAGCTGAGCCTCAGCTACAGCTGGCAGCCGCGAGAGAACGGCCACACCTCCAGAAGAATTGAGCACCCCGTCGCCAGTGCTCACAGCCTTGCCACCATGCATGCCCAGCCCGCGCTGCACCGCCCAGCGCCGAGCTGAGCTCCAGAGGCCGTCCTGCTTGATCCTGTGCTCTTGGAGGCAGAGGCAGTGCGGGACGCCAAAGTCAGAATCGTGCTTCAGCCACTCCAAGAGCGCCTGACAGGTAGACCACTGAGAAGAGTTAACAGACATCAGCTCCAACTTGGCAGAAACGTCAACTGCGGCGTCCTTGTGCCGCGGCTGCTGGAGGCCAGACCAGCCAAGCTGAATGTCGTCACCCCAACCGCGTCCTCTCGGCTGCAGTGTTGCCGAGAGCTTCCAACAGCCGCTTGAACTTGGCGCTGTCGGCGGAGACGTCAAACCCAGCGGCCGCGAATGCCGTGGTGACTTCATCATCCTCGGGATCGAACTCGACCTTGGCACCAGCGTCGAACATGGTCGCATCTTGGCTGTCACCTGGTGGGGCTCCGCCGACAGCACCAGCGGCCCCAACACCATGAGGAGCAGCGCCTGAAGCCCCATCAGGAGCTGGAGGAGGTGCACGAGCCTGGAGCTTGGCCCTGGCCTCCTCCGCCTTGGCGCCGACAGCCACCGACTGGGCCGTGAAGTCGAGCCCAAATCGGGTAGCAGCCTTGCCCAGCAGGGCCGAGAGGGCCTCGAGGCTGGCGACAGTGGCTGCGGGGTCATCATCATCTTCTTCCTTGACCTCGGGCACGATGGCCTTGGCCTGAGCACCTCTGATCGCAGTTTCAATCTTGACGGGAGACTCCGAATGATCAGCGATGGTTTTGTTGGCTTCATCAAGCTGCTTCTGGGCCTGTGCGAGGGCGTCGCGACAGGCGGCCCCGCGGGCCCGAGCAGCTGCGAGTTGCTTCTCCTTCTTAGAGCGACGCTGGAGCAGGTCCTGGAGGCTCTTGGAGGAGAGGTCAGCAGGCTGCGGCTGCGATTTGGGAGGGGAGGCTTCCGCATGTTGTAGAAGCTCTGTGAGATCCTTGCCAGAACTCGCTGCAAACTCTTTGATGGCGCGCCCGACCAGCTCCTTGCGGGAGGGAGGGGGCTGGGCGGCCCGCGGCGGTCCATTGGCCCAGCTGCCTCGGGGAGGCGGTGCTGTCCAAGGGGCGGTGCTGTCAGGGAACCGTAACTGCTTAAGCGCACGCTGGGGCGCCCGCTGTCCACAATCACGGCACTGGTTGCGCCGCATGAAGTTGCCGAATCCGCATCTTTTGCGCGAGCAGGCCCAAGTCTTCTTCGTGATGGAGGCGGCATCCGAGCTCATCGGGGTCTAGTGGTTGGCTCTGAACCGCTGCGCCACTTCCAAGGGCGCGGTCCAACATGGAAGCAATCAGCTCGAAACCTGGAAATGGCTAAGATGAGGAGGATGAGGAGGATTAGGAGGAGGAGGGGGAGGATGATGAGGAGACGGAGGAGTATGGGGATGCGGCGGATGAAGATGAGGAAGAGGAGGCGGAGGAGGATGCGGACGAGGAGGACGAGGTGGAGGCGGAGGAGGAGGAGGAAGAGGCTGATGATGACGCTGATGCTGATTGTGATGATTGTGATGCTGATGATGATGATGATGATGGAGAAATGCTGCTGCTGTTGATTATGCAGATGTTGTTGTTATTGCTGGTGCTGGCGCTGACGCTGCTGATGATGACGATACTGCTGCTGCTGATGATGCTGATGCTAATGAGTATGGCGATGCCGAGGATGTTGCTGATGATGCCGATGCTGCTGATGGTAATGCTGCTGATGATGATGATGCTGGTATCGATGCTGGTTAATGACAATGCGGCTGATGCTGATGATGCTGTTGCTGATGCTGATGCAGATGATGATGAGCATGGTCATGATCCTGTTGCTGCTGCTGCTGATGAGGTTGCTGATGCTGGTGTCGATGCTGTTGCTGATGATGCTGATGCTCTGATGCTGATAGTAATGATGGTGATGCTGATGATGATGATGATGATGATGATGATGATACTGATGATGGTGCTGATGATGCTGCTGATGATGACGATGGTGATACTGATGATGATGATGCCGACGATGATGACGATGATGATGATGTTGGTGATGCTGATGCTGCTGACGATGATGATGCTGCTGCTGATGCTGATGATGCTGATGATGCTGATGATGATGATGCTGATGATGATGATGACGACGATGATGATGATGATGGTGATGATGATGATGCTGATGCTGATGATGGTGATGGATGATGATGATGATGATGATGATGATGATGATGATGATGATGATGATGATGATGATGATGATGATGATGATGGAGATGAGGAGGAGGAGGAGGAGGAGGAGGATGTGGAGGAGGAGGAGGAGGAGGAAGGAGGAGGAGGAGGAGGAGGAGGAGGAGGGAGGTGGAGGAGGAGGAGAGGTGGAGGAGGAGGAGGAGGAGGGAGGAGGAGGAGGAGGAGGAGGAGGAGGAGGAGGAGGGGGAGGAGGAGGAGGAGGAGGAGGAGAGGAGGAGGAGGAGGAGGAGGAGGAGGAGGAGGAGGAGGAGGAGGAGGAGGAGGAGGGAGGAGGAGGAGGAGGAGGAGGGGAGGAGGAGGAGGAGGAGGAGGAGGAGGAGGAGGAGGAGGAGGAGGAGGGAGGAGGAGGAGGAGGAGGAGGAGAGAGAAGGAGGAGGGCAGGAGGAGGAGGAGGAGGAGGAGGAGGAGGAGGAGGCGGAGGAGGAGGAGGAGGACGAGGAGGATGAGGAGAAGGAGGAAGAGGAGGAGGAGGAGGAGGAGGAGGAGGAGGAGGAGGTGGTGGAGTGGGGGTACGGGGAGGAGGGAGGAGTAGGAGGAGGAGGAGAACGACCTGGAGGAGGAGGAGGAGGAGGAGGAGAAGGAGGAGGAGGAGGAGGAGGAAAAGGGGGAGGGAGAGGAGGAGGAGGAGGAGGTGGAGGAGGAGGAGGAGGAAGAGGAGGGCGCAGAGTGTGGGTGACGGGGTGGGGAGGAGAAGTCCAAGGCGCTGAAATCAGGTCCCCTTCGCGTTCAGGAGGGCGTAGGTTTTCGGGCCTTTCCTGAGATCTCGGCCATGGGACCTATCCGTGTCCGAGGCCCGCCGTGGCCAGAAACGCCTCGTGGCTACTTGTTCGGCCTTCCTGATGGTAGCACGGTGGCTCTGGCTGCAGAAGCGAACTCAGTGTCGTTTAGCCGACCCCTATCCCCTATCCCCTATCCCCATCCAGACCCCCACCACCTCAGCACCCCAGTTGGGGCTATACCCCTCGGAACCCGAAGGACACGGATCCTATATCCCCATCTAGGGCCCAGGCCACGCCCATGAGGATAGGGGTCGGCTAAACGATTCTCACAGACTTTGCAGGAGCAGGAGCTGGAGGAGGAGGAGGAGGAGGAGGAGGAGGAGGAGGAGGAGGCTCACAGACGTTGCAGGAGCAGGAGCAGGAGGAGTGGGACGACTGGCAGGCCCAGCGTCTGGCCGTGGCGAACTCTGGCCTGAAGTCGCTGGAGGACGTCCGGGAGTCGATGCAGCGCACCTACGGGACGGTGGCCAGCGGGGGCTTTCGACCAGCACTGCCGCGAGAGCCTGGTTCGCGTATCGCCAGGGCCCCGAGCAAGGTTACGCAGCTGGTTAACAGAGGTGGAACAAATACACATACCGCTACCCTTCCCTCGTTTGCCCCTTTTTGGGCCTCCTGGGAGGCCCTCGTCGCCACCGCTGGAATCGCTTCGAATTTCTGGTCAGAACGCACCCCGGGAGAGGTCCAGGGAGTTACTGCATCGGGACCTTCAGGTCTTCCCATGTTAGGGCCCCGCAGCCACAAAAAATGGTCTGCCGCAGCTTGTGCTTTTCGGGTGAGCAGTTCTGGTTAGCGTCCCCGAGCACACATCATTAAACCAGGCTTCACTTAACCCAGTCCTATCAATACCTGCTTTTCGGACGGGGCTGGGACGAGGGTCAATCCGTTCCAGAGCGTTCTGGAACGCTCTCAGAGTGTTCTGGGGCTCTCTGAGAAGGCCGCGGCGCCCGAGACATCTTCCAGAGCCACTGGTTCTGGGAAATTCTCGATTTATCCTCGCTCCAATTTATCCTGGTCCTAGTCTCGCCATATTTCGACCAGCGCTGCCGCGAGAGCCTGATGCTTCAATCGGATGGCAAACAATTGCGTACACATTCGAAGTTCCGCGCGGATTTCTTGGATCTGTGCTGGGCTCCCCCAGTCGGCGCCTCCGACGCCGCCCTTGGTGCGCTCCGCGCTCCAGGGAGGGGGTCCAGGGCCGATCCAAGAAAGTTCGGAGCTCCGAAAGTTTATGTTCGTCTAGCCTCGTCTTCTTCTTCTTCTTCTTCGTCTTCTTTTTCTTCCTCTTATTTTTCTTCTCCTCCTTCTTCTTCTTCAATTCGATGCTCCTAAGCCGCTGATCGGGGTCTTTGGCGCGGATCACGGGCCGCGTAGTCCATCGATCGTTCATCGGAATCGGTGCGCTCGATCGAGCTGTCGATCTGTGGCTCAGGGCCGCGTCGAGGTCAAGCGTTGCCGATTCAGATCAAGTGAAAGATTTTGAGACGGACCGGGTCGCGTCGACCGGCGGTTTGGATCGAGATCTGGACCATTCCATGGATCAGTTTTGATCAAAGTATGTGTGTTTGTTTGTGTGGACGCGCGTGCGTGTGTATAGTCATTGATGTCTATTTCCCCATCCGGGTGGCAAGGCGTGCAGGCGTGAGCCGCGTTCCCGGTCGCGGGGGCTGGGCCCTGAGACAGTGGGTCCTGGTGGGTCCTTCTCCACAGTGAGTGTGCGCGTGCATGTTTTGCATGAGACATGCTTCAGAGCTGCTTGTCCAGGGTGGTATGGGGAGCCTCCCACCACCAGATATTGGGGAGTGAGTGTAGACGTCGCGAGATCGAGAGCGCCGTTCAAGCAAATCTCATTCATGACATTCCTTGACGAGCTGTTGCCTTGTAATGCTATTTTCTTCTTTCTCTTCTGATCTCGGACTCTACGTAGCGGTCGGCATGCACTTTTGTGCTACTGCAACTCCGAGTGTTGCATGACATTTGCGCGTGCAGGGGCTTGCAGCCGTCGGGTCTGCCGGATGGGCACCGCCTTTGTGTAGTTTTTTCAGCTGTGCTCGAAGTCTTTCTCGTGGACTTCGGTGCAGATTCAACTATACGCTACGACAGTAGGAAGAGGCTGGGGCGGGAGGGAGAGGGACGAACAGCAGGAGGAGAAACCGCGAGCAGCAGAAGGTGGGTGAGTGGGATGGGAAGGCGAGGAAGAGGAGGGAGAAGCGGAGGACGAGGAATCGCAGCCCGAGGAAGGGGAGGCGGAGGAGGACCACGAGGAGTCTGGGAGGAGGCAGGGGAGGTGGGCGACCAGTGGGCATGCCCACGGCAGTGTGCCAGCGGGGAGGAGCAGCTGTCCCGCCTGCGCCGCGGCCCTCCTCCCTTCCCACCCCCCGAGGTGGCCGCCGCCACCAGGAAGACGCAGCTGTCTAAGGACGCCTGGGCGTTGCCTTAGGGAAGAGATCACCCGCAGCCTGCCCTGCCGCCGATGCTGTTGCTCGTCCTCGCTTGTTCTCACACTGCTGCCCCCCCCTCTTTATGGAAGAAGAGGAGGCGGAGGAGGATGAGGAGGATGAGGACCAGTGTGAACCCAAGAGTTATCAACGATGTTGTAATGAACCCTCCCTCCAAGCTTCTTCTTCATAGGCCCCTACAACGGTTCATTTCCACTGGGGAAACTGCCTCGTTTGAAGACAACCGTTCGAAGACCCAGAAGCATGCCAAAACAGTGTCCTCGGGTTTCCAATGCCACCGATCAGCCTGACTGTTGCGTCTTGACGATCCTGACTCGTGCCAGAACTCCATTCCTGGAACTGCAGCGCCGCGACTCAACCTAACGTTGCACCTCCATCGTCAGGAATCCTTCCCACGCACAACTTCTGGTACGCTGGTCATGGGGATTCGTGAAATCCCTGCAATTTTTCTAGTCGAAATTGCGCGGCGCAAATGCGACAGCCACATTTTGAAAAGGAACCGCCCTCAATCCGTGAAGCCGTCTGTACTTTTTCAATGAATGTGCGCGGCGCTCAGGCGAGAGCCACATTTTGAAAACGAATCGCGTTCAATCTGTGGAATTCTGGCAAAGTTGACAAATAATGTACGGGGCTCGAAGGCGAGAGCCACATTAAAAAGGACCCGCCCTCCATGCGTGAAGTTTCAGGGTCATGAATTGTGAGGAAATCGCCGCCAAACGCCCGACCCGCTCTACCTTGCCTCGGGGTCCGACAGGGAGAAGTGAGTTACAAGGAAAAGAAATGGAGGACGGAGAAGGAAGAGCAGGAGAAAGAGTAGGATAATGAGTAGTCCTGGGATGATGATGATGATGATGATGATGAGGAGGAGGAGGAGGAGGAGGAGGAGGAGGAGGAGGAGGAGGAGGAGGAATACGCACCCGCAGCAGGACCAACAGGCCAGACCTACTACGCACCGCCAAGCCATCTACATACGACCTTGACTGCACTCAACCACTAAGAACACACGTTTAGCCAATAATCAAGACCGGGTGGCCGAGGACGACATCGAGAAACGCTACGTGTACATCTCGCTACGACTTGGCCACGGCTTCCTTCCTGTACCGACCCGCAAAGGATGGGCCAAAGCCAGAAGGGGGACACACATTACGATCGCATACTTACCAGATGTCAGCAAGCACGACTTGAACTTTCTACAAGATCGACTCACATCGGCCCCCAATAGCTGGAAGTACCTATGTTCACACCACGACGCCGAGCTCCACTGGTCGCAGCGGCTGGTGGAAATACCTTACTACAGGAAGGCCGACTACAGAGCCGACAAGAACCACCAAGGTTCTTACGACACATTCTACTCATATACAGCACCTGGCAGCAGATCAGCGACGACATCGACCACAACAAAGTATGGCTCAAGTACGCGTGCGTCAACGAGGACGGCACCGAGAAGAGCCTCAAGGAAACACGAAACAAACCATACTACCTGCAGGGCACAAACAGAGACGACTTCCAGATGGACGGGGACTACGCCATCCACGCGAAGATCAAGCACGACGAAAAAGACTGCGGGAGGCGCGCCTACATCGGTTCGCGACAGATGCAAACAACAACGTCGCCACGGGGTCGGAGCTACTCTCGCTCGCCAACTACCTAGCAGACGAGCTCCACGCATCAGGTGCTTCGACCCCCCACCCGCCATGGGTAACGTGCACACTCGACAGAAACCGACGACGCATCACCCCACCAGCCACCGACCAGCAGCCCAACTACGTAGAAATCGAAGACGCCACGACCTACGAGTGCGAACTATTCAACCAATGGGAGGGTGCAGCACGATTCAAGCCACATAGGGCCTGCACCGCCGACGCACTACGAGCCCAAGGCGCCCACCAGAGACAATCCCATATGGCCCCAGACTATTTGCAGCCTCGGGCCCGCGCCCATCGCGGAGCTCCACCAAAGCAGGCGCATTATACATGACGACAGCAACCCGACACATGTCAAGACCGAACCCTCCAGCGTCCTACAGCGCCCTCAAGGCCCCAAGTCACGCGCGAACCTCCCGCGTGCATGCAGACAAGAGACGGGGTCTGCTTTCGCAGTGACTTACCTCCTGACGACGAGCGCTACGAATTTGTGCGGCAACAGCTCGCAGAACGACACGGCGTCGAAAAACGCTATTGCGACCGCCTGAGAAAAAGAGCGTCGCACGTGCAAGGGCCAAATGAAAATGCCACAACCCGAGCAGACTATTCCAAGCTCACCTTCAAGAGCAAGAAGGCCAAACATGACAAAAGAAGGTGCGGTACAAGTCGCGGCTACATCCCACCAGAGCCAGCAAAGATGCCGACGCCGCCGACTCAGACCAACCAAGACGAACATCAATACCATTGGGAAGACTATCCCGACCTGTGCTGCGACGCTACCGAAGCAGAAGACAGCGGCGTCAGGCACGACCCATGGGCCAAGATGAGCAGACCATCCGACTTTAACGAAGTTTGCCGATCACCGCTCGAACTTAACAAGTACCCCGACATGCACCTTCCCAGCGGCTGGGCTGCCTACTGCCACTACGCCAGCGACGCAGACGAGGAAGGTCGATAAGAAGACCACTGGCACCATGCAGCATACTACCACGAATCAGCGAACACATACACCTTCATATTCCCAAACGACGACCTACTGCTACCTGGCTGGCGCAGATACCCCAACAAGTACAACGACAAGTTTTTTTTGTCCACTAAGACGGAAAGCAGTGTCTACCGCCCCCGCCGCTCCGACCTGACCCCCAAACCACGCCGCCATCGACCCTCGCGTCGCCAGTGACAACTAGTTCAAAAAGGGCTCAAGCTACAAGAAGCGGTTCAATCAAGCGCATGCCTGCCAATGCACAACTTGCCCACCCACCTTACCTTCACAAGATACGGCAAAGACCTGCAGACATTTGCGCCGCATTACCGTGACAGCTTAACACTATGTTTACACATCGCCACGACCTACAGGCATCTGGTCGCGCTGATCTTGGGGGGGCAATCGCCGCCCGACAACGTCGAGATCGCCGCCGTGCAAGAAGTTGCCCAATGGCCCAGCGCATGCCGCGACGAGCGCGACAGCATGAAGTGCGACGGGGCAGTATGCATACGCGACGCAGCTCACATATTACGCATCTGCAACCCGACCGACCCATGGAGACACGCCAGCAACGAGCGCGACGACAGCGACAGCTCCACCGACAGGGGGGGCAACGCAAACGCCCAACAACAGACGCAGCACATTCCAACCGAACCACCGCCGCCATCATCGCAACCCAGCAGGCCCAAACCATTCGCACCCACGCTGCCGCCCTCATGGGGCGCGCCCGACGCCCCGACGAGCCCGAACAAACCAACCGGCGCTGCGAGCAACGACGCAGCAGAGTTCCAACCTGCGCGGCCGCTCAACAAACCAAGGGGGAAGACGCCGCCAGCAACCGCAAAGCACATCACCATGCACCCCCACGCACAACCACAATACCATGCGACCCCGAGCAAAACTATGCAGAAGATACACGTCAGCAAAACGACCACGACCATCACGACTACGATTCACCAGAAACCCTTCAAACCACCACCAGCTCACCTGATCGAACATGCTAACCAGACGGCACAACAGCCACCGACCACCCCCAAAACCAACAGCGCAACAGCATCACCAAGGACGTCCTCAGCCACATCCACCACCAGCATCACATGGTCACCACCGCACCTCTTCAGACAGGTACACCCACCGCCACCTGCACTAAATATACAAATGACTTACCCACCGGACGATCACATCGACGCCCAACAATGGATGCAATCTATTCCATGGCGACAGCTGGCACCGCGAACGCCGGCGACGCGGCGCGCCTACGTCCCGACGATCGCAGCGCGGGCAATAGCAACGCGCCACGACGCAGCGCGACGAGGTGAACACCATAACCACATCTTCAACCGACGCATCATCCTCCTCAACAAGCTTGGGGACCCTACGTTCCAGGATTACATCGTCAGGCTTCGCGCGCACCAGACCCTCCGCGAGAACTACCTCAATAGCTTGCGCGAGCGCGCGCCTGGAGCGCCATTCAGGGAGCCGCCGCCCAAGTGCGTGGCAACGCTACATAAGGCTACTCCCAAGCCTAAACCGGCGATCACCGACGTGGGTCAGTCTACGCGAACGACATGTCGACCCACCGCAACCAGCTCTGGGCAGTGCTACAATCTACCGCGACATTCACGACCAGTACCTCCTCCCGTCCAACTGCCGCAGATAGACCTCACCTGACTTTGTAGATGCAGGCGCGCCCAATCGCAGTCAGACTGTCGAGACAGACTACTGACCTGCAATGCGCCATTCCTCCTTTCCCCTCGCGGCTCTTTCGACGCGATGGCGGCGCTCCCTCCCTTGCAGGTTTGGGGTTGTCTTGCGAAGCCCCGGGTCGCAGCCCTAGGGTTGCGCATTTTTTCATTGGGGTCCTCTGTCTTCTCACAATGCATGTCTGTTGCGCGCCATCCTTCTCTCCTTCGCGACACACTCGACGCGATTGGTGGCTCTTTTACGCTCGCTGGTTTGTGGTTATCCTACAGAACCCTTGGTCGCAGCCCTCGGCTTCCGCACTGGCGCTGCAGGCCTGGCGTGCAGCCGCGCTTGCCTACGGCTAGACACCCGAGGCCGATTGTGAGTGATGCCAAGTTGCGCCCCATCGACTCGCCTCGAGTCTTGCGCGCAATTACTGACGGCAGTGCCATCTCATTTGCGCGGCCAGCCTCTGCTACAGGCCAGCCTTAAGTCGGGCCTCTGCAGGGGGAATGTTCAAACATAGTCAAAACATAGTATGTGGACTATTTTTTGGGGGGGGGGGTACTTTTGGAGTATATGTTTTTTCGCCTAAAATCTCCCCTGTAGGGGGACACGCCCGACTTGACGCCAGCCGTGCACAGTCGTCCTGCGCAGCGAGCTGCCCCCGTCGTCCTCGCCCGCTCTTTGCGCCGGCCTCCTCCTTGGCCGCGTCGGCCGAGAGTGCCCAGCGGCGCTCCCCCTCCTGCAATGGCAGGCCGGTCTGCTCAACCTCGGCTGTCCAAATGACGGGCATGTTTCCGACCACCACCACCATAAATTGGAGGGGGAGGGGGTCCTCCTCTTCGTCCTCATCCTCCTCCTCCTCCTCGTCCTCCTCCTCCTCCTCCTTCCCCCCTCCAACTTATGGTGGTGGTGGTGGTGGAAACCAGGCCCATCACCAAAGGCGCCGCCTTAAACGCGGTCTACTTTCTCTCAGCGCAGGCGTCGGCGTGCGCGCCGGCGCCCGGGGGCAGCCCGTGCATCAGCTGTTCCTTGTTGTCTCGTTTTAGTGACTGCCGTGGTTAATGCGTGCAGGCTTCCTGCTTGCGAGGTTGCAGCGGTGTAGGCGGTGTGGGGCGGGGCGGGGTGGGGCGGGGTGGTGGTGGTGTGTGTGTGTGTGTGTGTGTGTGAGGGGGGGGGGCGGGAGAGGGGGAGGAGGAGGAGGAGGAGGAGGAGGAGGAGGAGGAGGAGGAGGAGGGGAGGAGGAGGAGGAGGAGGAGGAGGAGGAGGAGGGAGGAGGAGGAGGAGGAGGAGGAGGAGGAGGAGGAGGAGGAGAGGGAGGAGGAGGAGGAGGAGGAGGAGGAGGAGGAGGAGGGAGGAGGAGGAGGAGGAGGGAGGAGGAGGAGGAGGAGGAGGAGGAGGAGGAGGAGGAGGAGGGAGGAGGAGGAGGAGGAGGAGGAGGAGGAGGAGGAGGAGGAGGAGGAGGAGGAGGAGGAGGAGGAGTCTCTCTCTCTCTCTTGCAGGTTTGGGGTTATCCTGCAACGCCCTGGGTCGCCGCCCTATAGGATTGCGCGTTTGTTCAGCCATGCCCCTTGCCCCTTCTCGCTGTGCTGCCGCTCGCCCTCCATCTTCCCCCGCGGCTCCTCCGGCGCGCGTGGCGGCGCTCTCCCGCTTGCAGGTTCGGGGTTATCCTGCAAGCCCTGTGTCGCCGCAGCCCTAGGATTGGACAGTAAGTATTCGTGCCGGGTGTGCTGCCGCATCTGCCTGCGGTTAGACGCCCATGGCTGACTTTGATTGGCGCCCAGTGCGCTCCATCCACTCGTTTCGGATTTCGCGCGAATGTGCTGACGTCGCTTGCATGCGTCCTCGGACCCCAGCTAGGCAGCAGCACTTTGGCGACCATGCGCCACTGCTCTAGATCCCAAAGAGAATCATTGTAAGTATGCGTTGAGGGCTGCATGGGCCCAGCCTCAGAGTACTAGCAGCGCAGCAGTAGTATTGCGTGCTCTTTCGCAGCAGACTTGACAGCGCGCGGTCTAACATTTTTGTGCTGCGCCAGACTCCGCGTGAGCAATCCGCCCGTGTGTGAGCTCCAGGAAAAACAGCCCGTGCAGAGCCGCAGCTCACTGCGTCTTGACAGCACCTAGCCACAGTTGGGGCTCTTTGTATCCCAATAGGCTTACCTTATAAGGCCAGCCTGCGACACCGATCGTACTATTATCCTGTTGGACAATTTGGGCTGGTGCTGAACCCGAGCAGAACCGCGCGAAAAGCACGAGGGTCCCAGCGCCGATGCGGTTCGGGGTGGACCCAAAAACCTTGGGCGGCAACCCTAGAATTGCCACGCTTTAGTGTCCTCTTTCGACGCTGCATGACAGCTTGCGCGGCTGCGGAGGTGGCGGTTACATTATTGAGGGCGGAGGTGCAGGACCACAGCAGAACAAGCTATGGGCTTTTTTGCTTACCAGTCCCGTCCCATTTACTCGGCCAGCCTCTTCTACAGGCCAGCCGAGTACAGACCACCTGCGCAACAATCTCTCCCGTGCGGTCCTCACTACTTCTGGTGGGCAATGCACCTCCTTTTGGCCGCTTCGACTCGGCAACCTGGCGGCTTCTCCCTCTCCTCCACAAGCTGTGTTGCTACCTCTTGCGCAATTCCAGGCATTGGCCAGCTTAGACCACAGGCCAGCCTATTCGACTACTCGCGTACACGCATACGCGATACCTTCGGCCGCACATTGCATCTATGGACGGGGGGGTCATTACAGTGGGGGTGGGTTTGTTGGGAAGGTGGTGCGGATTTTTCTACGGTTTGGAGTCAACCTAAACCCTGAACAGCAGCCTCAGAACTGCCACTGCCACAGCGTCGCTTTTTGCACGTGTTTGCCGTTTCTTGCCATCCGAGAGGGCACCACCCATGGACAATTCGAGGGGGGTCAGGCTTATCTACAGCGGGCACTTTGAGTCTAACGTTAGTGCCTGCCTCGAAGACTTGGCGGGCGCCGACTCTTCATTCCATTCTCGATCTCGTCTCTGAGTCTCTACGTATGTTGTTTTCCACGGCGCCCGCCAGGTGCATCTTTGACCCGGGTGGCACTCCAGGTTTTCATTCAGGAGCGCCACAATTGTAGGAGTCAGGTTTGGCCGACGTAAAACAAAGAGGAGCATGATGATGATGATGATGAGGAGGAGGAGGAGGAAGAGGAGGAGGAGGAGGAGGAGGAAGAGGAGGAGGAGGAGGAGGAGGAAGAGGAGGGAAAGGAGGAGGAGGAGGAGGAGGAGGAGGAAAAGGAGGAGGAGGAGGAGGAGGAGGAGGAGGAGGAGGAGGAGGAGGAGGAGAGAGAGAGAGAGGATGAGGCGGATGTTCGCCCTGCTGCCCCTCCCTCATCCGCGCGCAGCCGTGACTGCCCCCAGTCGAAAGCGCTGCGGGGGCTGGGCAAGCGCCTCCCTTGCGCTCGCCTCCCTCCCTCTCTCCCTCCTCTCCCTCTCTCCTTCGCCCTTCCCTCCCTCTCTCCTCTACTCTCTCTCCTCTCCTCTCTCTCCCTCCTCTCCCTCTCTCCTCTCCCTCTCTCCCACCTCTCTATCACTCTCCCTCTTCCCGCTCTCTCCCTCCTCTCTCCCTCCTCTCCCTCTCTCCTTCGACCTCCCCTCCCTCACACCCTCTCGCTCTCTCGCTCTCTCTCTCTCTCTCTCTCTTTCTCTCTCTCTCTCTCTCTCTCTTTCTGTGTGTTCCTCTCTCTCTCTCTCTCTTTTTTCTCTCTCTCTCTCTCTCTCTTTTTGTTCCTCTCTCTCTCTCTCTGTCTCTGTCTCTGCTGCTGCTCCTAGGAGAGGATGCAGTCCGTGCGCCGCAGAAGGCGGACCGCCATGGGCTCCAGACGGGCCCCCGTTTGCATATCCAGGCCGCTCCCCCCCAACAGAAGCACCTCGGTCGGAGGGGGGGGGGCGCTCTCGAGGGCGCGAGGTTATTCGCGCTTCGCGCTTCGCGCTTCGCGCTTCGCGGTTCGGCTCCGATGCCGGTTCGAGGGCGCGAGGTTATTCGCGCTTCGCGGTTCGGCTCCCCTGTGAGGCGGCGCGAGAGCGCGAAGTGATTCGCGCTTCGCGCAGTGCGCTTCGCGGTTCGGCTCCGATTCCTCTTCTCCCATGGGAGGCGGCGCGAGAGCGCGAAGTTTTATTCGCGCTCTCGCGCAGCGCGCAGCGCGGGAGCGCGAAGGAGGGGGCCCAGTCGTGGCCGGGGTCGTGGCGCGCCGTGGCCAGGCGCAGGCCCCCCTCTGCTGCGTTCTCGGGCGGCGCTCGCCGTACCGTCACCAGGAGGAGGAGGAGGAGGAGGAGGAGGAGGAGGAGCAGGAGCAGGAGGAGGATGAGGAGGAGGAGGAGGAGGAGGAGGAGTAGGAGGAGGAGGAGGAGGAGGAGAAGGAGGAGGAGGAGGAGGAGGTGGAGGAGGAGGAGGACGAGGCTTCCGAACCCGAGTCTTTCGTCCCCCCGACCCTGCAGCGGCGGCCGGCCGAGGATCGGAGCGGCCGCCCCTGGCCGGTGCACGACGACCAGGAGGAGACAGAAAACACACACACAGAGGGACACGAGGAGTCGCCGCTCCCCAGGACACGAGGGGAAACCATGGGAAGTGGGGGGGGGAAGAGGGGACATGGGAAAGGGTGGGGACTTCTGAAGTCTGGGAAGACATGGGGAGTGGGGAAGCATGGGGGAGTGTGGGGAACTCGAGAACATAAGAATGAACACCTGGGGAATCCTGGGATCTGTGTGCACTTCTCTGTGGGCCCCTGGGCCCCTTCAAGCTCCTGTGCCAGCAGCGCGAAGAGGGGCGGCGCCGCCAGGCCTTCGAGCACACCATGGCGAAGCGCAGCGAGGGGGAGCGGCGGGTGGAGCTGAAGCGCCACATGGAGGGCCCCTGCTCCGGCCTGCGCTCCCTGCGGTGGCTGCTCCGGCCCCCCCTCGGGCCTCCAGACCCCCTCGCGTTGCGACAACCTCGCGACGGGAGGGGCTCCGCGGCCGGGCCCCCGGGCCGTCCACAAGACGACTCGGGATGAAGAGCCGGTCCCGGGGCCGGGGCCACATGCGAACCCTACCCCTGCCCCCCACGACCTCGGAGGGGGAGGGTGCGGGGTTCACTTCGCGCGGGAGCTCCCGAGCGAAGTGAACCCCACCCTCCCCCTTCCGAGATCGTGGGGGGTAGGGGTAGGGTTCGCACGTGGCCCCCTACCTTGGGAAGGGGCCCAGCCTTCTGGGGGCCGGCGCGGCGGAGGAACATCGCGGCGTCGGGGGTCTGGGGCTGCCTGCGCCGGCCTGCTCCGGCCGGCCCGCCCTCTGCGGCGTCGGCTCGTGCCCCGCCCCCGGGGGGCCGCTTCCCCTCCGGCCCAGAGATCCCCTGTAGGGGGACAGGCCCGACTGAAGGATAGACGGAGGCAACGATAGGGGGGGATATTCTGGGTGGGAGCGTGCGGAGTCACTCGCCGGGGCCTATCGCCGCTCTGTCGGAGATGTGTAGCCGAGTCCAGGTTGATGTTCCCCCCCTAAACCTATCTCCCTGTATCGTTGCCCCTCAGATAGGGTAAGGGGTGGACAGACCTCCTACCCTGACGCGTCGATGAAGGAACTGGCCGTTTTCGGTTCGCGAGAGGGCGTCGCGGCCATCATCTTTGCGGGTCCAGGTCCGTTGGTTTCGGTCCCGGGCCGCTTTCACTAAGGGGAGGTCTACTGAAGGGAGGTTTGTCCACCGCCGAGGTCCTGACTTTTTCACTCCGGCGGTTTTTCCTGGAGGTCGGCCTCTCTGGGGCCCGTCGTCGGGCCCCGGGACCATCGAAGCTGGATCTGGGACGGACAGCCACCCCCCGGGGAAGGGGTCGGGACGTTGAACAAATCAGAGCGGCGGGGGTCTGGGGATAGGCCCCCCTCCCTAGGTTCCTCCTCCTAGTCTTGCCCCTCTCTCGCTCTCTGCTCCCTCCTCGCCCCCCTCGTCGCGTTTCTCTGTCCACCCAGCCTCCTTTCTCGCCCCGTCCCTAATTCCTCTCTCCTTGCTCACGTATCCTTTTTCCCTCCTCCTCCTCCTCCTCCTCCTCCTTCTCCTCCGTTCTTACGCTCGTCTCCTCCTCCTCCTCCTCCTCGTTTTGCCTCTCTCTCACACTTGTTCTCTCTCCCTCTCTCCCTCTGTTTTTTGTATTGACTTTTGTTTTTGTTGTTTTCTCTCTCTCTCTCTCTCGCTGCGCCTGGCGTGGCACCCGCAGCCCGAGCGCCAGCGCTGCTGCCGCCAAGGAGGTGCAGATGCGCCGCCACGCGGGCGTGGCCTCGGGCGCCCGCCGCGTGGCGCGCCCGCGGGCCCGACGCGCGGCGCTGCGCCGACTCTGCGCGCAGGGCCCGAGGCCGGCGCCTGCTGCGCCAGCGGGGGCCGTGCCTGCCGTGCGTGCGCCACCGGACGCGCAGGAGGCCACAGGGCGTACATCGCGCGCGGGCTCGTTTCTCGTCGACGTTGCTCAACCCGCGGCAGGAATAGGACGCAGCTCGTGTCGCGCGCTGAACGTCTCGCCGCCCACAATATAAGATGAGCCAGAGGCGTCGGGCGCGACGCACTTGCATTTTATGTTGTGGGAGGGCGGGTGGGACTGGACGGAGCCCTCTGGCTCGTTCGAGCTGGCTAACTTGATGCGAAACCCACCCCACCTCCCCACGGTTTTCAAGGGGGGAGGTGGGGCAGGGCTCGCACGTGGCCTCCCAACGTGGGAGCCGACCTCCAAGCGGCTCGAGCGGAACGTCGAGGTGCCCGGCTTCGGCCGGCGGCGAGATTTGGGGGGGGGGGGAGCGAGGAGGAGCGGGCCTGCTCAGAAGGCTCGGCAGGCCTCGGGCCTTCTGAGCAGTTGCCCGAGCTTTCCCCGCAGACGCCGAGAACTTCTCGGAACCAGCGAGGGCTTCTGAGAAACCCCGCCGCCTTCCGAGAAGGTCTTCTCCTTGTCACTTCGCCCCCCCCCCCAAGGCGCGCCGCCGATTCCGGGATGCCCACGACGCATGCGGCGCCTGTGGTGCGGAGCGTTCGGCATAATAGGCCCGGGCACGGTGGCGACGCACGGGCGCGGGAGCGGGACCAGGCTTCTTGCTGTGCTCTCGCGCCCTGTTGCCAGTCGTGAGGGGGAGTACGTGGATGACCGGAGCTGGGAGGGGGGGGGCGTCTCACACGGCAGCGGACGGACCTGGCACGATGGGTGCGGTGTATCGACGCCTCCTGCAGATCCAAGACGCCTGCGGTGAATCACCGCCCTCTGCCTTTTGGAGCCGCCTATGTGATGTGGCCGAACGTTGAGGCCCGAGCTCGGCGAAGCAATCGGCCTACGTGTTCCCCCACCTGTGATGGAAAGCCCTCGGGGAATACGAGGGGAAAAATAATAATAGGAGAGGGAGACTGAAGTCAGAAGGTCGTAAAAAATGACGTCGTCCTACGTCCCACCAAAGAGCTCAAGGAGCGGTGAGACGTTTACGTCGGCCGTGACTCGTTGCCCACCCGAGACGGCTTGGTGCGTAGGGTGGCAGGGCCCCCTGGAGCTTTCACCGTTCTGTCAGGTTTCTCGGCCAGCAGGACCACAACCAACCCTGCGGAATCGAGTGGCATGAGCAAATGGGTTTTACGAACACGACCGGCCGAGGGCGGGTGGACACAAGGTCCCATGGGGCTTACGGGCCACACGACCCCACCTCCCGACCAACTGCGCAATCTCCGTGCCTGGTACCAATCTCCAGGACACGGGCGCAGCTAAGGCGCCACATGCGGACACACACACACACACACACGCAACACACAGCACACAGCCACAACACACAACACGCAACGCACACACCACACAACACACAACACACAACACACAGCACACAACACACCACACACACCACACAGCACACAACACCCAACACCCAACACACAGCACACAACACACAACAAACACAACACACAACACACAAGGCACAACACACAGCACACAACACACAACACACACAACACGCAACGCACAACACACAACACACAACACACACAACACACACATTACACTGCCTGCCGCTGGTTCCGAACATTGGGCCCGGGTGGTTCTCTCCTTGCCTGCTGCAGTGGGCAGCCCTGGTTGTATGCGCTGTACGCGACCAAGCCATCGGACTATGCGTTCACCCCAGCTGTTGTGAACACATTTCGGGGAACACGATGGGAATAACAAACAAAGAGGAGGAGATGGAGGAACACGGAGGAGGAGGGACAAGAGGAGGGGGAGGGAGAGGCCCCTTGGGAGCGTCTTGGGGCATTCTTGGGGCCTGCTTGGAGTTTCCTGGTGGTTTCTTGGAGGCCTCTTGGGGGCCTGTGGAGACTCCTTGGGAGGCTCTTTGGTCTTCGGATGGCGTTCCTGGCCCGTCTGACGCTGTCGGAAGCCGTCTTGCGGGTCTGTCTGGACCGACTTTGTGGACCTCGTGGGGCGCCTCGCGGACGTCTTGGAGACGATCTTGGGCGTCTTGGATATCTCCTGGATCGTCTTGGGGCCCTCTTGGCGCAGTCTTGCGGGCCTTTTTGAGCCGTCAGGGGTCATCTCGGAGGCCTCTTGGGCGCTCTTGGGGCCATCTTGGTGGCCCCTGGGGCCGTCTTGGGCTGTCGGAAAGCCGACCGTGAGTAACTGCCATAACCTTTTAGCGGCCTCTTGGGGCCCTCTTTGGGCCCTCTTTGGGGCCTCTTGGGGCTCTTTTGAGCTGTCTTGGCGGCCGCGTGGGCCACCTGGAGCCTGTTTTGGGCGTTCTTGGGTCCATTCTGGGGCGATCTTGGGCTCTCGAGGCCATCGTGGCCGTCTTGGAAGCATTTTTGCGCGGTATCGGAGGCGATCTTGGGCCATCTTGGCAGTCTTGGAGGCGTCTTGGAGGCAATCCTGGGCCGTGGTGGCCGTCTGGGACGCGATTGTCGGCACTTTCGGCGGCTCTCCTCCAGGGGTGGCCAGCGGTCTGGGCCGAGAAGCCGCTGAGAACTTGCAAGGCAAATCTCAACAACTACCTATTGAGCGCCCCAGAAAGACTTGGCATCGCTCGGACGTGTGCATTTTTTCTCGGCGAGAACCATCGAGGACCATCCTGGACCATCGAGCCAAAAAACACGCACGAAACCGAAACATGCACGGGAAATGGACGTCCGAGCGACGGCAAGAAGAGCCTGGCCTGCGAGGATCGAGGAGTTGCCATCTCTTCCTTGGCGGAAGGCTGTGGAGGGGCGGTGGAAGGTCGGCGGACGTTGAACGAGGCCGCCTCCGCTGGCGGAAGGGCGGCGGAAGGCGGCGGAAGTAAGCCATGCGCCCCCAAAGAGATGACAACATTTTTGGGCTCAGGGTTTTCCGAACATATCGTCCAGCATGCCGTGCACCCCCGTGGCACGCCAACAGGGGGCGGCGGATCGAAGACGCCTACGGCGAATCACCGCCGCCCTCTGCTCGTTGAAAGAGCCTATGTGGCCGAGCGTCGCGGCCAGAGCTCGACCAAGCTATTGGACTATGTGTCCCCCCCAGCGGTTGTGAAGACACTTCGGGGAACACGAAGGGGAAACAGGAAAAGAGAAGGAGAGGGAGGCAACGGAGGAGGAGGAGGAGGAGGCAACGGAGGAGGAGGAGGAGGAGGAGGAGGAGGAGGAGGAGGAGGAGGAGGAGGAGGAGGATGGGGGAGGAGGGCAAGCTAGGTGCGCTCGCGTCATATCTGACATCCTACTCCTCCCTCCCATCCTTCACCATGGCGCAGATCCCCTCTCTACTCGCACAGTCGGATGTCAAGCAGGGCGATGATCCCGAAAGGGTACGCGATGCATTGTAGAGCACGGCGTGGCATGGCGTAGAAGAGCACCGCGAAGCGTAGTATCAACCTAGCATTGCATTGCATGCCGTGG